GGGGTGTAAAAGTAAAAGGCATGGCATAAGGTACTCTGATGCGGTCAAAAATTCGTGGCATAACTTTTTGTCAAATATTTCCTAAACTATCAAACATATTCTCTCCAGCTTTTGCACAATAACTTGTGTCAATTTGTCTTAACAGATCAACATTTTTGTAAACACCTGTAATCTGTATTCTAAAAAAATCTTTTATAAATACAAATAAAAAAATCCAAGTGGGTTGTTTCTGCATATTTTAAAAGGTACACAGCTGGCGCAATATTGCTTTCAAAAGCAAGTCCTCCATTTTTTTTTCTAATCGCGACATTATGCTAATTGAACGAATGTCTTGAGAGCCTTTAGTGCAAAAAATGTGATCACTATTAAATTAATTTCTTGTAACAAGAAATAGAAAGTGTCGATGGTGAGCTGTGACGTAGGCGATACGTGTATGCAAAATGTGTGTGAGAAGAGGAAGGTGCTGTGAATAATCCTATTTTCCGCGTGATGGAGATTTATAATATTATTTTATATGACTTTATGAAGAAGATTTTTTAAAATCTAGCCTCAACTGTTGGGGGGAAATATAATTAAGTTAATACAACTAGATACAAAAAGTTGTGTAAAGTAAGGGGGACATAATTTGATTCACGCGTTTAAAGAGAGGTTTGGGGATTAGTTGCGCCACGGATTTTTGACCGCACGATACAAAGTAAAAGAAAAATAGAAACCACGACAGGCAGAATGTGTTGGAAGAGAAGAGAAAAGAAAGAGAGAGAGAAGGAGAGAGAGAGGAGGAAAGAGAGAGGGGGGAGAGAGAGAGAGAGAGAGAGAAAGAGAGAGAGAGAAAGAGAGAGAGAGGGGGGGGGGGGTTATAAGACAGCTGAGCCATATAAGACAGAATAGGTAGACATTTTCCTGGCCTTCAGTTGTTCTAAAAATAGCCTGTTGAAACCCAAGAACGAAAGCCTGTAATTCCTGTGACTGTGAGCAAAGATGCCCTCTTTTTCACCCAATACAATGCGTTTTGTGTACAGCATATCGGCTGAATTAAATGCCGCGTTCCTGCCAAATTAAATATTGGTGATGATTTTTCAGATAAAAAAGTGGAAAACATTAACTTAATCCTAATGTCCAAATCCCATGTTGTAAAACAAAAAGTTAACGGGCTCGGTGACGCATGAAAACGAAACAAAAGGGAGCGGCACGGCATAACAAAACCCCGTCATACACTTGAGTGACCAGCGACCATATCCGCTTTGTTAACGAGACAACGACATGCTAAGTACATGCCCAACACTGACACCTGTCACACATCTCCGTCTGGGCTGCATTTGATAA